TCTGGAGGAATTAAAGCTGAGCCCTAAAAAAATTAGGCTGTGAGCAAGTAGGATTTTTTTTTTTTAAGGAAAATCGATTTCCCAATGGTGGGTCATGGTTCTCATGACCACCAAATCCTTTATGGTCACAATACTATTGGCAAGTGTGAGAGTACTGGAAAAATGTTTTCGTTGGCTTGGAGAATTTTTAAGACTGCTTACAAAATAGTGGTAGTGTGTCCTTCAGTTTTCTTTCAAATAACCCACTGGGCTTCTGAAGAAAGCACTTTATTTTCTAGAATGATATGTGTTTTTTTTACCAACACAGAAATAGCTATTTTTCTTTTTCTTAGCTGATGATTCCCACCCCCCTTTAATCTCTACCACACCTTTAATAAACCTTTCTCTAGCTTGTCTATGTTCTACTCTTCTTTCCTTTCATCTTGGTCTTCACCCCTTCTCTTTTCTTTTTGCCAATCTCATAATGTCCCCCTTTGGGTATATATTTCCAGGGCTTTGCTTGTTCTCTTCTTGCCAACACATTACTTTTTTCTTTCCCCCTTCCCCTTTCCCTTCTCCCCTGTTTTTTTCTCTGTGTCTCTCTCTTGGATATTTTATTTTTAGTGCCCGCTGAAACCTGCATATATACTTTTTATATTTCAGAGCAAACTGTTGCTGTTTTCTCACAATCAGTACAGTAGCAACAAGGGTTTTTCCCTCACACAGACAAGCTATATTCCATTCCAGAATATAAAAACCCAAGTAAATTCTAAAAGTATGTTGTTTGGCTTTTATAAATTTTTTTAATAAAGGAAACACCTTCTCCATTTTTAATTTTTCTATCATTTTTGTTGGTGTTTTTATTTTATAATTTCTTTTCCCTTTTTTTGGTTTATTTACTTTTGTCTCTTTAATATGCTCATCTTTCCTTTTTAGCCTTCTTTTACTGTTGTCTTTTCTTTTACCTTCTCTGTCTCCTCCCCTTTTCTCTGTCTTTTCTCTCTCCAGCTAGCTGCCTGTCTTTTCTTTTCTTTTCTTTTCTTTTTTTCCTTTTCTCTCATCTCCTGAACCTTGCACTTTCTGGGTGACTCAAACTTAGAGGAACCTTTAATAGTTGAAAACCTTTTATGTCTTGGCCTTGGTCTGCCCAGTGTAGAGCTGTCTGAACTCCCTGATGATCGCAAGGAGGGAGAAAAGGAGGGAAAGAGGCAGATACAGGGCACAGGTAGTTTTCTAACAGGAGCTTTCACTCTGCTAACAAAAGGGGGACAGTCCCCTTTTGTCTGGGACTCCTGAGGGGCATGTTTCTAGAGCTTCTGTCTGCCACAAATGGAACACAGGTGGAGCAGGGTGACAGGATGGTAGAGAGTGCTGCTTGAGATCTGACTGACTTAATTTCTTCTGATTTTGTTGATCAAAATAACTTTTACTTCCTCTTTTGGCATTTGGGGTTTACTCAACAATCTTCCAGAAATACCTTTCCTATTGTGTGTCCCTATGGAACTTAGCCCTTAGTTGCTACCTGAGAGAAAAAAATGAGATGAGAGACCTAAGTTGGCTGGTAACCTGTGGGGGGCTCCTCCCACTCCTATTACTCCTCTTCTGCCCACCTTTAAGGGCAATGGAAACTGACCACTAGGCAAATCAGCAATTGACTCTTGTTCTCTCTTTAAGTTCCTTGACTTGGGAAGGGCCTGTAACAGATGGATCTTTCTAAGGCTTGAAGAGGGGGTGTGTGTGTGTGTGTGTGTGTGTGTGTGTGTGTGTGTTGTTAGAAGCACAACCAACCTCTGGTATCGGTTCTATCCACCTCTGAGGCAATCTTTTTATCCATCTGCCTGGGCCCATACTAGGAGCATAGGTCTCTCACTGATCCACAAACTCCTAGCTGTGACTCTCTAGCTACCTGGTCTCTATTTTACTTGCCTTAGAATTCTTACCTTCCTTTCCTCAGTAACACCATTAGATTGTGTGCTTGCATAAACACAAAGAGATACTGCTGCTAATGCTTAACAACTAGCTAAGGCTGAATATATTTATGGGCAGCATTTAATGTTCAGTGTAAACTGAATTACTAGAAAATGTGTACTTACTCTATACATGCATGTCTGAGTGCACATGACATCTTTCCTCATTGACTTTGCTGTAAACCATTTATATCTCAAGTATCTCAAGGAGGAAAGTTGTTTTGGGTGTTTTGCTTTACATCAGACATTAGATTCACTCTCCTCCTGCTTTGGCTAAGGTACAAAATTAGCCAGTTATTATCTGACATAATCAAATTATTGAAAAGTAGCCATAACAATCTTACATAAACTATTCTCCTATCCCCAGTACTGAATATATATATATAGACACACATATACATATATATGTATGTACGTATGTGTATGTGTGTGTGTATGCCATTTGAGGAAAAGGACAGGCTAGCTTCTTGCTCCATTGTTGGTTATTATCTCTACATCGTCTGTATGCTGCATCTATACAAGAGTTCGCAACCCACGAGACTCTTTTGCTGAAAGTAAAGCTATAGTGTGAGGTATTTCAAATAAGGTTCTTTTTTTTCCCCACTGCTAGATTAGATCTCAGTCTAACTGGAGACAAGGGCATCTGTCTCTATCTGTCCATCTCTTTCTTTCCTCTCTCTCTTTCTTCCATGTCTTTTTTTTTTTTACCCCTCTCTAACTTTTGCTTCCCAGGTCCCAATGCAGTGACTTCTCCATAGGCTTCCTTTGGAGGGAGTAGTTAGGAAGAAACATGAGACTTTCTCAACCTCTTTTCTCAGTCAGATTCACTGTTCCTTAGGTCCCTGCCTCTTTTCGCAATATTCAGCTATTGGCCCTGTCATGAGGATCTGGAGTAAGCTATTGACCATCAGGAATAACCACCAGGATTCTCCCAGGGCTGAGCACTGATCTCTTCTCTTTATCCCATTTCTGTGTTTATCTAGCTCTTCTGGATCAAAGCCCTTGCCTTCCTTGCCATCCTCTCTTTTTCTTCCTTCTCTCACTCCCTTTCATTTAATTTGTTGTTGTTGTTTGCACTCTTGACATGGATACCTTGTGCTGTGTAGGTTAGGCCCCTCAGCTCGGTCTGAGTAAGTTTGGGGAGTAGGACAGTTGGCCAAGAAAAGAGGTTTGAAAATCACTCTTCAAAAAGAAAATTATTTTTGAAAAGAAGTCGAAAGAGGATAGGAGTGAGAAAGGAAAGGGAATATAAATTCTGAGAAGGAAGAGCAGTAGACAAAAGACAGGAAATAACTTCTGAAATTGAGTGTGAATCTCTCTGTTGCTATCATTTCTCTGTTGGTTTGTCTGCATAGCTATAGTACTCATCAGTGTAGGGCCAGGATAGGGACTATAAACTGGTAATAAATATATTATTTCAATGTAGCAAGGTAAACTGTGTCTGTATGGGCATTTTTCAGAGATTTCAAGGAAAACTTTCCCGATAGAATACTGCATGCTGATGGAGGCTGGAAGGAAGGTAGGGAAAGAGTGGTCTTCAGTTGTTTTTTGCTTCTGATTTTGGCTATGGCCCTTTTTTCTATGGGCCTTTTTTCTTCCTTCCTTCCTTCCTTCTTTTATTTTTTTTTCTCTCTCTCTCCCTCCCTCCCTTCCTCCCTCTCTCTTTCTCTCTAACCTAGGGATGCAGTGATAAGATTTCTACTTGGGTGACCAGCTGAGTTTTCTTTTTAGAAAGAGACTAGGAGGAGTTGTTTACATATATCCTTTCTCCAGCTCTCTCTCTGTCTCTTCTCTTCTCCTCTCTTCTCCTCCCCTCCTCTTCTCTTCTCTTCTCTTCTCTTCTCTTCTCTTCTCTTCTCTTCTCTTCTCTTCTCTTCTCTTCTCTTCTCTTCTCTTCTCTTCTCTTCTCTTCTCCTCTTCTCTTCTCTTCTCTTCTCCTCTCCCCTCCCCTCCTCTCTTTCCTCTCCCCTCCCCCCCTCCCCTCTCCTCTCTCTCCCTCTCCTCCTCTCCTCTCCTCTCTCTCCTCTCCTCTCCTCTCCTCTCCTCTCCTCTCCTCTCCTCTCCTCTCCTCTCCTCTCCCCCCCCCCTTTTCCTTTTCTCTTCCTCTTCATAGAACTGTAAACCTGTATAGCTTGGGATGATAACTTCTACTTTTCCTTGTTTCCTCCTTAAATAAAAAAGGAAGCAAGAGACAGAAAAAGAGCTTGTGCATGTATGGGAGAGAGACTGAAACCAAAATACAGAAAGAAGGCGCAGCTGCTTTCTCCAAGGCCTTCTGGGGCTCCCGGTTATATGCATTCCTTTATTTATTTATTTTTCTGGCTAAAAAATATAATTTCCGCAGCCGCCTCTTGCTCCCCCCCCCTTAAATTTGCTGTGTCGTTGCTGCCAAATCTACCAGAGTGGGAGCGTGGAATAAAAAATTCATAACTGCTGGACTTTGCTTGTTCATTAGATATGAACTTGTCGATTTGGCAAATTGTTTTTGGTCTCTAACCGCCCGGTCCCTCCCCACCCTCCCAGGCTCTCCTCCTTTCCCTCCTCCCCTTTGATGCAGCCATTGGCTGTTCAGTAGATGTCTCTTTGCCAAATAGGTGGATCCTTCTCTCTCTCTTTCTCTCTCTTCCCCCCCCCTTTTTTTTCTGGCTTTGGCACAAGCAAATGGATGGGGATTGAGCATGAAAGGAGAGAGAGGGAGTTTGAGAGAGAAAAGAAGCAAAAAAAAAAAACCCAGCACACTCTCTCTCTCTCTCTCTCTCTCTCTCTCTCTCTCTCTCTCTCTCTCTCTCTCTCTCTCTCTCTCTCACGCGCCTCTGCCAGCGACGGTCTGCAGCCGGTCAGAACTCGTCCTTTTCCCCGGGAATCTGCGATCTCCCCCTTTTCCTCCAAACAGGCGGAGAGAGAGGCAGATCTAAGTTTACATCCCTGTGCCGTTGCCAAAGCCGAAAGCCTTTTTCTTCAGCTGCTGCTTTTTCTCTCCTGGGTTTTTGCCGGGGGGTGTGTGTGTGGGGGGGGTGGGGGTAGGGATAGGGGTGGGGAGCTGGATTTGGGTTTTTCTTTCAGCATATATCTTTTTTTTTAATTGGAGGGATGCACAGGAGGGGAAATTGAAAAAAAATTTGTTGGCTTTTGTTTACCTGGCGTGTGTGGCAACGGGCTTTCTCATTGCCTGCCATCTCTGACCTTTCTTTCTTTCCTTTCTCTTCTTTCCAAAGGAAAAAAAATAATCCCCCCCATGTGCATGAAGGGTTAAGGGGGAAATGGGGGGGGATCTGAGAATCCAACCAAGCCCTGCCCCCCTTCTGTAGAAAACCAATAACACCCCCTTCCTTTTTAAAAAATTTTACCTTCATCCTATCCTTTCTCCTCCTCCTCCCACTCCCTCCTTTCCACACCCCCACCCCCACCCCCAACTCACAACTCTGTTGAGTCCAGAATTTCAGAATCTGGTGTTGGGCTTTGCCGGGATGCTTCGGAGGAATGGTAATTATTTATTTTTTCCAAATTTGTATTTAGCAAAAAGGAGTCAAATATTATTTAACCCCCAAACAACAACAACAAAATGATATCTTAGCTCTCTTTACACCTGACGAGTGGAAAAAAGAGGGTAAAGGGATCAGTGGGAAGATAGAGAAGGGGGTGGAAAAGGACCCAGTAGCTTTTAACCCTGATGTGACCAAGACGAGCCACCTTGTTTATTTGTTTATCTGAATAATAAATGTCTCGTTTATTATTACTATGATTAACATTATGATTGATGTTATTAATAATGTCACGCTTATATAGTTAAGATTTATATTTGATTAATAGAAATTCTAGGGTCGATGTTGAAACTGATCTGGAAGGAAGAAAAAGCACCTGGGGGTGGGGATCCAAATCTCTTTCGCCTCTTGTGGGTGTCATTTTCTTTTTTTGGGGGTTGCCAAAATTGAATAGTATCTGGGCTCATGGGGGTTTCTGCATGCATGAGTCCTTGTGCATGAGTGTGCAGACATATGTGTATAGATACTGTACCTCCATGAGATAATACAGAGATCCTCCCTGCAATATAACATGGATATTGCATGGGCGCAACAGAGTGCAATGGGGATATCAGCTGCTTGTGTGTGTGAACAGAGATATTGTATATGGGTGTGTGTCTGGTGTGTGTGTGTGTGTGTGTGTGTGTGTGAGAGAGAGAGAGAGAGAGAGAGAGAGAGAGAGAGAGAGAGAGAGAGAGAGAAATAGGTGTGTGTATAGGCACTCAGTGGCTCTCCTTTGGCTGCTGGGAGTGAGATGGGAGCAAGTGCCTGGCTAAGCTGGCTAACCCTAGTTTCGTAGGGTGACTAGAAGGAAAAAAAATTGGGGGGAGGAGGGAGTCTGTTTCCTTGTAGCATCCCTCTTCTAACACTTCTTGTTCTCTTTTCCTCTTCTTTTTTTCCTCCCCTTCTTCCCCTCCCTCCCTTCCTGCCGGCTCCCCACCTCGCCCCGCATGCTCCCGTCTTGCCGCCTGCAGGATGAATTCCACCCGTTCATCGAGGCCTTGCTGCCTCACGTCCGTGCCTTCTCCTACACCTGGTTCAATCTGCAGGCGCGGAAGCGCAAGTACTTCAAGAAACATGAGAAGCGCATGTCGAAGGACGAGGAGCGGGCAGTGAAGGATGAGCTGCTGGGGGAGAAGCCGGAGATCAAGCAGAAGTGGGCGTCCCGGCTCCTGGCCAAGCTGCGAAAGGACATCCGGCCCGAGTTCCGCGAGGACTTTGTGCTGACCATCACCGGCAAGAAGGCCCCCTGCTGTGTCCTCTCCAACCCTGACCAGAAGGGCAAGATCCGCCGGATTGACTGCCTGCGCCAGGCCGACAAGGTGTGGCGGCTCGACCTGGTCATGGTGATTTTGTTTAAGGGGATCCCCCTGGAAAGTACTGATGGGGAGCGGCTCTACAAGTCACCCCAGTGCTCCAACCCCGGCCTGTGTGTCCAGCCTCACCACATTGGAGTCACAATCAAAGAACTGGATCTTTACCTGGCTTACTTTGTCCACACTCCTGGTAGGTCATTCTGAACACTGTTTTCATTTTATTTTATTTACTTGGATTTAGATTATCTTCCTATTTGTTTTATTATTTAAAAAAAAGATGAAATCGCAGTAGGCCTCGGTGGGCACTCTAGCAGGCACCTGCACAATTCCTGGGGTTCACTTTTTCTTTATTCTCTTTTTTCTTTCCCTTCTTCTTTATTCTTCCTCTGTTAGGTGCTGTTAGCACAGTCCCTATTTTGTCTCCATCTTTTGAAGGACTATTTTGTTCCAAAAAAGCTTCATGGCTCTTTGGTTTGGGATTGGAATGTCCCAGGATGTGTCCTGTGTTGGTGAGAGATTGAGATGGGGGAGAATCCAGAATTTGTGGTTATATTTTAAAATGAAAGTTGAGGCATTGGGGCATCACAAGGCTACCCCCTTAGGTTGTTGTCGGACATGCTTTTGGCATGGTACTGGGCAGTGCCAATGTCAGCGGGAGATGAAACTGGGAAGCTCTTTGGATATCAGGCTGAACTCTCCCTTCTGTGAATCAATAAAAAAGAAAGAATGTATCAAACGCTAAGGTACCCTGCTTTAATCACTCAGGCTGAAGATGAATTAGGTAGGGATGGAAAAGGGAGTTGTTTTGGCTAGGCCTAGCGGTTGCTAGAGAAGAATTGGGCAGTGATTTCACTGAGAAAGCCAGGGGTGTGTGTGTGGGGAACAAAACAAAACAACAAACAAATTCGAAAGACTCTGCTGTCACTGTCCAAAGCTCTGAGTCCTTACCCTGCCATTTTTGGGACTAAACGGGTCAGATCTGTACCCTGGATATACTTAATGAATATCAGATAAATAAAAGTCGGGCACACTTATGTGGCATAGTGGTAGCGGCTTGGCAGTTTTTACAATGATATATTTTTCATGCCACTCTCTTTGGCTGATAATATTCTACCCCCCCAAAAAAGCTTTTTAGTTTTGAAGAGCTTTGCTCCATAAGGATTTTCTTAGTACTTTTTTCTCCTTCTCTCTTTTTACTCTGCTTTTGGGGTTTGGGGGCTTTAATTCCTCTTCTATTTTTTCCTCCTGTCCCTTTTATAATTTCTTTCTGCTTTTGTTTTCTTACAAATTGAAACAGAGATGGCTGGTTAATTTTTAGCCTCCACTCAGCTACGCCCAATTTACTGCCGCCTTTGAAACCCAAACGAGCCGGCACTCTGTGATTAAGCAAAGCAGAAGTGTGTTTACATTATGCCCAACCAACTTGTAATGAGAGGGCTACCAAACCTTTTTTTTGTTTTTTTTTTTTCCCTCTCTTTTCCTGTATACTAGCTTTCTCTTTCTCGTCTCGGTTCTTCCTTTCTCTGGTTAGGCGATCATAGGAGGATGTAGCTCAACTTAATGGACTGTTTCAAATGTTCTTTTTTATGTCATGGTGTGTGTGTGTGTGTGTGTGTGTGTGTGTGTGTGTGTGTGTGTGCCCCTTTCATTTAAGAAACAGGAAAAAAAGAGGGAAAACTGCTGCTATTAACATTCTGTCTATTTGGGGAGTTGAGGAGAGGGTATCCATACATAAATATAATTTCAGGCACCCTCCACCTTGGTTTTGTAGGAACTCAACAGAGGTTGGTATGGTTAGTTTTGGAAGAGAGCTTTGGGGAAAAAAAAGGAATTATTTTTGACTTCCTCTTTCATCTGCTTTTTCATGTCTAGAGAAGCAGTTTTCTTAGCAGGGTGGCAGTGGGCACTGCCGCTGGGCACTGTCTCTTTGCTCCTCTCTAGGTCCATGACTGGCCTTGTTGGTGCCAGGTGAATATGACCATTGCTGGCAAAGAGAGAGTGAACTATTAAATCAGGAGACTTCTCTCTTTTTTTTTTTGAAAGATAAAACTACAACAACAACAACCCAGAAAAAGGTTGGCTCTCCATTCTAATGCCTGTTGACTGAGACAGAAAGTCTTTTTATTTATTTTTGGTTTGAAGGAACACAGAAGACTTGGAACCTTATCATTCCATTATCTGAGCCAGTGAGGCAGTCTTGACCCCAGGTTAACCTGCAGATGTCTTAGGAATAGGGTTGTGTACCCTCTGATTATGAGATGGGGACAGAGGAATACTCTAAATTTTAGTCATGATATACCTTGACCAAGCCTTATCCAGCTTTCCACTTGAATCAGTCTGTTTCCTCACATTTTAGGCCACATTCTTGACTTCCATCAACATACAGCAGAGTTGAGATGAAGCGAATGTCACAAGAGACCATTTCACTGTCATGTCTCTGGCTCCTAAATTAACCAGGCAGACTTCTTGGGGAAAGGGGTGATGACCCGATGACCTAAGGAACTCAGTGGCGCTGTCAAACACACAATTCTCACTATGTTCTACTCACTCAAGGCAGACTCTGCTAAAGTTGAGTCTCCACAGTAAAATAAATAAATAAAACAAGGCAGTTCATCAAATCATTCAGGCCCTCAAACCTTAGATCATCCAGATAGATGAAAGTAGAATTTATTTTTAGGTCTGAATTATTTGAATAGTAGCTCAGGTCTTTGGCTGAGCTGAGTGGTACACTGGATGAGGGGATTTTGGGGAATTCAGAGTATACATAGGGCAAATTGGGCCGTCAGTGGGATTCTTTGTTTTTTCCTTTAGGAGAAAGGTAGTTGGGAGGTGGAATGTAGTAGCAGTATATATGCCTTCCCGGGCTGAACCAACTAGAACTCTTCTTCATTTGCTCATTCACTGAGCTGAGTTATCACCCTTTTCTCTTAACACATTGGATGGTTTTGTAGCTTGTACCCAGCCCTGAACAATGACAGTTTGGGAAAGGCTATAGATTTTCTTCTCTATTCTCCCCTATCTCCTCTACTAGTTTTTCCAACAGTCTCCAACTATAAGATGGTGGTCACTGGGGGAATTGTTTTGGGCTTAGGAAGGAGAAATTTGATTTTTTATTTGTAAATACAGTACCATGTCCCAAAGTGAACTGATTTCATTTGGGGGTAGTATAAAGGTGAGTTTGAAAGTATAATGTGTCATTTGCCAAGGTGGTTGGGCTCTTGTAGTGCATTTAGACCATTGGTTACCCCTTAGACGAAGCTTGAGGAAACGGTTTGCCTGGAGAGGGAGGACATGACGACAGTGGTATGAAGAGCCTTGTTCCACTTTGAAAGTGTGGTATTAGAATGACCATTTGTTCCCCAAATCTTCATTCTCAAGGAAAGAGGGAGAACATTCTTTCTCGATGTGAAAGAAGCCTATTGATTTGGGGAATATATGAGTTTTCCTGCTATGAGAAAAAAGGATCTGGAGTGATAGATCAGGTAAGGCACAAGGCCGAAATCACTCTATTTTCTCTGAGTACAGATGTGGTACTGAGGCTACTGTGTCAAGCTCCAGTGGGAGATTCTAAGGTATAGGTGGGAAATATCGAACCTTCCTTGCCATGGGCACTGGTCTCTAGAAAGGCAGAAGCAAACTAAAAATATAAGACACCTATCAAGGACCAGAAACTGTGCAGTGTGATTTCCTACCCCACTCCTATTCCCTGCCAATCTTGCAACCTGCATAGGGTGGCAGCCTTGGGGATATAAAATACTGGAATGAGACATCTTGAATGATGGATATGCCATCCCTTGCCTGGGGTGCCTGCCCCTTACCTCACAGGTAACCACATACCCATTTTATCTTGGACTCCGGGTGAACTTTATCTAGGATCTAGGCAGATATACCGACAGGACAGCCTTCTTTCTTTCCCTTTCCTTCCAGAGGTTGGAGCTTTGCTCTCAGGTTTTGCTTAGGGGCTGGGGAGAACGCTGTTCCCCCTCCTGATCCAAGAGGTTTTTTGGGGAAAGTAAAGTGGCCATCCGCTTTCCTGGCCTGTTTGGCTTTGCTGCTTCCCCTGAGTTCCTAATATTCTTAAGCTGGGACTTTCTGCTTGCCTCAGGTCAGCCTCATGATGTTTCAGGGGTTCAGTGAGAGGGGACACCCATTGTGGGAGTCTCATTTTCCCTGCCCTACTCACAACTCGTTCCCAGGAGAAACAGATATGTAGCTTCCCCACCTGCCACCTGACTTTGCCACTCCATGAAATGACATTTGTATGTATCCTCTCAGGTAGTTCCATCTTGTGTGAGTGTTGGCAATGGGAGCTACCTCAAGGAGGTGCCCATCACCAGGTGGCAATATGGAAGGATCACTGGGTACAGGTGCATAGGGGACACAGATGATCTCAGCAGTGGGTGGTAGGTAATAAAAATAAAAGCAGCTATATTCATATAGTGTGTTACCATTTACAGAGCACTTTTCTTTTAAAAGACCTGTGAATTAAGTAAGGCAAGTGTTATTCACATTTTATGGATGGGGAGACTGAGAGTCAGATTAAATGACCTACTCATGTTTATACAGCTTCTAGGTGATAGAGCTGGGACTTAGAACTGGGATCCTGGAGTCTCATGTTTGATCTTTCCTATAGTGAGATTTCCCTAAAAAAAAAAAAAAACTAGGAAGAAAAGCCAGATTTGGCTTCACCCTAATTATGACTTTTTTTTCTTGTTGCCTCTCATCCTGGTGTCCTGCTTACCTGCTGTATTATACTTTGTGTCTGGGACTACCTATCTTTGCTACCTGTGGTGGGTAGATAATTTGTTTGAAGTTTCTGTTTCTCAAGATGAATTGGAAGCAAGAGCAAAAAGAAAACTTCCCAATCTTGGTTTGGTCGGGTAAGGTATGGGGTAAACATAAAAGAGCAGGTAAAGAGGACCACTTTTGCCAGGAGTTAATGGTGATCACCTAGTTGGTCTTCTGACCCGGGGCCCAGCACTACATGGCATTGCCTCTCTGAAATACACAGAAAGAAGATATTCTTTTGAATACCTTACCAGACCGTGAGCTTATAGGGGCAGAGAATTTAGAGAAGGAGAAAGACCTGATTCAGAATCATCCTTTTAATCCTCTTGCTTTACAAATGAGGAAACTGAGTCACACAGAGGTTACATTGCCCAGTAGTGTAAGCCAGGGTTCAAAACTAGG